TGATGTTTTGAGGAAGCCTATGAGATGTCTTGATAGCCATCATGAAGCCCAGAGAGGTCCTTATGCAAGAATTCAGGAGATTCGACCATGAATGATAGAATTAGGGTTTTGACTGGGTCAACCCTAGATCAGCTGAAGTTTTGGAGAAGGTTGAGACCTAATCCAAAGGCCATGAGATCATGGAATGATGCATAGAGGTGTTATGAAGATGATTCCTAGACCAACTCATCATGATTGAGGAGTTTGAGAAGTTTCAAGTCAGGGTTTCCAAGGATTGTCAGTGAAAAAACCCTAATTTGATCCCTATCTTCCAGGCAGTTTTAGCTCTAGATGTGATTGATATCTCATCTTCCCCACAACATGAATGTTGTATAGCTTGTTCGTAGCTTTAATTTGAGTGGTGGAAGTCCTTGATAGGAGTTACAGAGCTCAAGTTATGGTTTTGACAAATTACAGGTCAGCTGAAGTATGTGAATCTGGGTCCTTGAAAGTCACCCAACTTGCAGACAACTTTTGCCCTAGTAGGATGATTCCTATGATCTCTTGGTCAACATGAGTGTTGAAGGGCATCTCCTTAGCTTTAAGTTGAGTGGTAGAAGTCCTTGATAGGATTTGTGGAACTCAACTTATGGTTTGAACAAGGCAGGGGTATTTTGGTCATTTGTCAGTTATAGGTCATTTTTTAGCAAAGGCCATATCTCCTATTTCCAAGCCTCAAATGAAAAAACTCAAAACATGAAAGTTGTTCAAAATGTGATTTTAAGTCTATAAAGAAGGTCATGAAAGTTTGGAAAAGCTTAGAGCATGGATTTTTTAAAATGGACAAAATGAACTAAAAAGGGCTTATAAGTTGAAAAAGTTGAATTTGAAAATTGGTTTGGGAGATCTATGAATCCAAAATGGGTCATCCAATATATCATTTTGATTGGAAACATCATTTTAAAAACAATGGTTTAGCCACATTTTTGAGTTTAGGCTTAAAAATTGGAGTTGCTTTGTAAAATTGTTACTTGCACTTTAAGGCATCAAAAGGAAAGATGGGAAAATGCTACATAAGGGTTTGTAAGACCTTATTTTCATGTCATAATATCATATGGGGAGAATTTAAGTAAGATTGCATGGTTTATCATGAGATGGCATGAGATTCACTCAAGATGACAAATTCAAATTATCATTGCATGAGAAGTTCTAGAAACTTCATGGAAGGTTCTCCAAAGTTCTAGACATTTCTATTCTCATCTATATAAGCCCTAGGGTGGCTCCATGCATTGGTTAGATATTTTCAAGCTTGCATACTACCCTTTGATTCCTTCACTCCAAAATTGCATTTTCATTCCAAACTCCATTAAAACTCCATCAATCACTACAATTCTGATCATCATCATCATCCATAATCAACATTGAGTATTTGGCAAGAAAGATTGAAGAGAATTCGTGGCTGGCTCATGTATTCCAAGTGATCACTCCAACTTGCATGAAGGGTTGGATAGGTTGATTCAAGAAGTGTGAGCACAAACCACTGCAAACAGAAGCACATAGGTCCATTGAAGATCACTTGTAGCAAGTACCAAGGCTTGGATTGGAGAAGAAACACCATAGCCATCATCACTTGCAAGGTATGCGTTTTCTCTTGAATCTCATTATTTATGCATAGTTAAGGTTTGTTTTTAGGGTAAACATGATAGAGACCAATTAGGGATGAATCTTGATGAGTATGAGAGCATTCCATGGAAGTTTGTTGTATGGGCGTTTCTGTTTAGGGAGCAAGAACTCATGCCTTAGTGTACTATAATCTTAGTTTTGTGGCTTAGAATAATCACCATGGAGTGTAGACCATTCTAGGTTAGTATCAGCCAAAACCATGATCATGCATAACAGAAGAAAGTAATGGTGTCCAAGACTTCCATCGTGCGTATCTCTTTCTAGAGTGAGTGTTAAGAAAATCCACGACCATGGCTGTGTAGAGGGCAGTGAGAGGAGCAATTTTGTTTTTTGGATCGAGTTAAATGATGGAGAAATGAGAGAGCTAGATGGAGTGGAAGATTTGCGCATGGAGGGTGTCTCGTGAAACCCTAGCTGGCTTGAGGTGGAAGACATAATCTTCACCGTTGATCCGTGTTGATATACTTGACTTTGTCCCTCAATCTCACGGCCCGGATTCATTCAGAAATGGGAGGGAAAAATTAAAATCAAAACGCCGTCGTTTTGATTAGTGAAGGGCGCCTGGGCTTATCTGCTTTCTATTCGCACCCCACCAAATTCTGGCCCATTAAAAAACCAACTAGCGAGCCCTGCTACTCACACCCCCTCCCCTTTAATTGTTTTCTTTTATTTTTTATTCTTTTAATATCTTCTTGTTCTCTAAAAATTCATATAAAATAGGAAATTTAATATTTTTTAATTCTTCTTTTTTCTACATGTTAATAAATCTGTCTAGAAAAATATAAATAAATAAAATGTCCATTTTATTTTCTTTTCATATTTTTAATAGATTTTTCTTTTAAATAGCTTTTATAATGTTTAGTTTGATATCATGATTTTGTAGAATTTCTTTTAGGACCTTCCTTTAGTCTTTTTAACTCATTCTTTTTTGTGTAATTAGATATTGAATCATAGTTCCCCATAGGATTTATTTCTAGATTTTTAGATTAAAATTTGATTAGTTTAATTAGGGTAGCATTAGGGTATCCTAATTAGGGTTTAGGTTGTGCATAGGTGAAAGAATTCATTTTCTTTAGATAGTTTTGTTTGATTTTTGGGTAGGGGCCTATGTGGATGTTATGGATAGATATTGTAGACCCTTGTGAATAATTGATAGAGTTTTCCCCCTTGGTTTAGTATTTTTAGGTATTTTCTGAAGTTGCCTATTGATTTTGTCTGTCTTGTGGTTATCTGTTCATCTCTGGGGTTTGTTTTGGGGAATTTGTTGTGGGGCTTGTGTTGTCTTGAAGACCTTGTTGGAGAGCATGATGAAGAGAAGATTGTAGATCAAGACTCAGAGACCCAGAGCTTGGCTTTTTCCCTGTCTGTGAGGTTTGAGATCCTGAAGTTTGAAGGGAGTTCATAGTACTTTCCTGAGGAAGGCACTATGAATGACTTTCATTCTTTCTTCTCACCTCTTTCTCAAGTATCCAATGATGTTGGAGCCAACTTGTGAGTTTAATTTCTCCTGAGGAGGAATGTAAACTGATCACAGTTGTTGAGCCACATAGGATACGACTCCTAAGTGGAAGCCTCCTAGTACTTTCCTGAGGAAGGTCCTATGAGTCTGTTCATTTAGTTCCACTAGTTTGTCTAGGATTTCTCAAGTATCCAATGATGTTGGAGCCAACTTGTGAGTTTAATTTCTCCTGAGGAGGAATGTAAACTGATCACAGTTGTTGAGCCACATAGGATACGACTCCTAAGTGGAAGCCTCCTAGTACTTTCCTGAGGAAGGTCCTATGAGTCTGTTCATTTAGTTCCACTAGCTCAGATAGGATTTCCTAAATATCCAGTGATGTTGGAGCCTGCTTGTGAGTTTAATTTCTCCTGAGGAGGAATGTAAACTGATCACAGTGGTTGAGCCACATAGGGTATGACTCCTGAGTATACACCTCCTAGTGCTTTCCTAAGGAAGACACTATGAGTCTGCTTACTTAGCTCCCATTCTTTGGTAAGCTTGTTCTGAAGCTTGAAGACTGGGATTGATTTCTTTTGGTTAGGTTTTGCTTTAGGGATTTGCTTTCATTTTGATTCAGATTCTGTGTTAGGGTTAGGATTAGAGAGTAGATCCTTTCTTTCTCAAGTTTGTGTTTGTTTGCCTGATGGCACTTCATTTCTTTTATCTAATATTGCTTGATAGCATGTTGATTATTTTCAGTATGATTACTGTTATTTCATGACTGGCTTGAGGTCGAGACGAGCTTGTGGAGGCTGAAGCCCCACACACATTTCCTCCCTCACTTGCATTGCATGCATTTTACTGTTAAAGCTGATGCTTTTGTCTGTTTTGGTGTATCATTGACATGATCCCTTAGGACTCTCATTTCCTCTGATGAGGATTTGATGATAGACTTTTAGGTTGAAACCTATGCATGACAACATCTAGGAGTTCCCTGTTCAAACCTCAACCATAGGATGAACCCATGGCATGATAACGGTAGGACTTGATAGTCTCCCTCCTAGTTGGGCATGTTCTCCTCTCACCTCGAAGCAGTTTAAGATACAGTAATCATGAATGATTTCTTTCGTACGTTACGAGCCTTAAGCTATCTGAGATTGGATGTTTAGTATGGTACCCCGTGGGTGACATGCGACGCATTCACTCTCAGGTCATACTCTCTAGTGTGGTTGAGGTCGCAAAAACAATAAAAAACACTTCTTTTAGGAGATAACCCGTAGTTAGCCGAACTACGTTTGCTCTGATCTTTCATACCAGATGAAAGTACGTAGGCATAGGATGCGATGTCCTAGCGAGCAACCTTTCCCCCGTAACCCCGTAGTTAGCCGAACTATGTTGACTCTGATTTCTCGTTCCAGACGGGAATACGTAGGCATAAAGCGCGATGCTTTGCCGAGTCATCTTCTTTTCTTTTTTCAGCCAGCCTTGATAGGTAGATAGATTATAACCAACCCGTCCAAGTAAACAAACAAGCGAGGATCCCGTCGAGTACGACGGACGTGAGGGGTGCTAATACCTTCCCCTTGCGTAACCGACTCCCGAACCCAGACAATGGTTGCGATGACCTTGTCTTACCCTTATTCGTCAGGTTTTTCCGATCGTTTCCTTTCCCGCTCTAAGGGATAAATAACGAAAGGTGGCGACTCTTCTGTCATGCCGGCACCTTATTTTCGCGCAAGCGACAGCTGGCGACTCTGCTGGGGACCTGCGTTGGTTCCCTATTCGAGTCTTGCCTTAGGTTTTTTCCTAGCTGTTTGGGGAAATCCTAGTTATCTTTCGGAACATTACTCTTATTGAGCTATTAAGAACAAGTGGATTTACACCAGCGGAATTAGTAATGTCTCAAGAAAAATTGGTACAAGAAGTCGTGGATGCACTTCTTGATAATGGAATCCGCGGACAACCGATGAGGGATAGTCATAAGAAAGTTTACAAATCGTTTTCCGATATAATTTCGGGCAAAGAGGGAAGATTTCGAGAGACTCTTCTTGGAAAACGAGTTGATTATTCGGGGCGTTCTGTTATTGTCGTAGGTCCATTACTTTCATTACATCGATGTGGATTGCCCCCCGAAATAGCAATAGAGCTATTTCAGACATTTCTAATTCGTGGTTTAATTCGAAACCATATTGCTTCGAACATAGGAGTTGCTAAGAGTCAAATCCGGGAAAAAGAACCAATTGTATGGGAAATACTTCACGAAGTTATGCGGGGACATCCAGTATTGCTGAATAGAGCGCCTACTTTGCATAGATTGGGCATACAGGCATTTCAACCCATTTTAGTAGAAGGACGTGCTATTTGTTTACATCCATTGGTGTGTAAGGGATTCAACGCAGACTTTGATGGGGATCAAATGGCTGTTCATGTGCCTTTATCTTTGGAGGCTCAAGCAGAAGCTCATTTACTTATGTTTTCTACTACGAATCTCTTGTCTCCGACTATTGGGGATCCTATTTCTGTACCAACTCAAGATATGCTTATTGGACTTTATGTATTAACTAGCGGAAATCGTCGAGGTATTTGTGCAAACAGGTATAATTGGTTTAATTGCAGAAATTCTCAAAATGAAAAAATGAGCAATAATAACTTTAAGAACTTGAAGTATATGAAAAAAAAAGAACCCTGTTTTTGCAATTCCTATGATGCAATTGGAGCTTATAGACAGAAAAGAATAAATTTGGATAGTCCTTTTTGGCTCCGGTGGCAAATACATCAATGCATTATGTCTTCAAGAGAAGTTCCTATCGAAGTTCACTATGAATCTTTTGGTACCTATTATGAGATTTATGAGGATTATTTAGTAATAAGAAGTATAAAAAAAGAAATTCGTTGTATATACATTCGAACCACTATTGGTCATATTTCTTTTTATCGAGAAATCGAAGAAGCTATACAAGGTTTTTCTCGAGCCGATTCATCATATAGTATCTAATCATATACATGGTTAGTGTTGGTATCCACGCTAAGTAAATTTAGGATACTGGTGTAAATTCAGGTCAACTAGCATCTTTTCAATTTTCTACGTAAATAAACATAAAGAAAAGGGAGTTTTCCAATCATTCACTCAAATCTATTGTCGTCGAACCGAATACCACTGAGTGGAATATGGAGGGACTTATGGCAGAAGGGACCAATCTAGTCTTTCACAATAACGTGATAGGTGGAACTGCCATTAAACGACTTATTAGCAGATTAATAGATCATTTCGGAATGGCATATACATCACACATCCTGGATCAAGTAAAGACTCTAGGATTCCATCAAGCTACTGCTACATCTATTTCATTAGGAATTGATGATCTTTTAACAATACCTTCTAAAGGATGGCTAGTCCAAGATGCTGAACAACAAAGTTCCGTTTTGGAAAAACATAATCATTATGGGAATGTCCATGCGGTAGAAAAATTACGCCAATCCATTGAAATATGGTATGCTACAAGCGAATATTTGCGACAACAAATGACTCCCAATTTTAGGATGACTGACCCCTTTAATCCAGTCCATATAATGTCTTTTTCAGGAGCTAGAGGAAATGCATCTCAAGTACACCAATTAGTCGGAATGAGAGGATTAATGTCAGATCCACAAGGACAAATGATTGATTTACCCATTCAAAGCAATTTTCGTGAAGGACTGTCTTTAACAGAATATATAATTTCTTGCTACGGAGCCCGTAAAGGGGTTGTAGATACTGCTGTACGAACATCAGATGCTGGATATCTTACACGTCGACTTGTTGAAGTGGTTCAACACATTGTTGTACGGCGAACAGATTGCGGTACCATCCGTGGGATTTCTGTAAACATCCGAAATGGAATGATGCCAGAAAGAATTTTGATACAAACATTAAATGGTCGTGTAGTAGCAGACAATATATATATATATAGGTTCACGGTGCATTGTCGTTAGAAATCAAGATATTGGAATTGGACTTATCAATCGATTCATAACTTTTCAAACACAACCCATATTTATTCGAACCCCCTTTACCAGTAGGAATACGTCGTGGATCTGCCGATTGTGTTATGGGAAGAGTCCTATTCATGGGGACCTGGTAGAATTGGGAGAAGCTGTAGGCATTATTGCTGGTCAATCTATTGGAGAACCGGGAACTCAACTAACATTAAGAACTTTTCATACTGGTGGAGTATTCACAGGGGGTACTGCTGAATATGTGCGAGCCCCCTCGAATGGAAAGATAAAATGGAATGAGGATTTAGTTCACCCTACACGTACACGTCATGGATATCCTGCTTTTATATGTAATATAGACTTGTATGTAACTATAGAAAGTTACGATATTATACATAACGTCATTATTCCACCAAAAAGTTTTCTATTAGTTAAAAATGATCAATATGTAAAATCAGAACAAGTGATTGCGGAGATCCTCGCGGGAACATATACTTTTAATTTGAAAGAGAGGGTTCGAAAACATATTTATTCTGACTCAGAAGGGGAAATGCATTGGAGTACCGATGTGTACCATGCATCAGAATTTATGGATAGTAATGTACATATCTTACCAAAAACAAGTCATTTATGGATATTGTCAGGAAAGTCGTGCAGGTCTAATACAACCCATTTTTTACTTCACAAGGATCAAGATCAAATTACCATGGATTCACTTTCGAATGGAAAAAAAAATATTTCGAATCTTGTAGAAAGGAATAATCAAGTAAAACATAAATTCTTTGGTTTCCATACTTTTGGTACAAAAGAAAAGGGGATCAGCGATTATTCAATATTTAATCCAATCATATATATGGATCATTCTTATTTAATGTATCCCGCTATTTTTCACGATACTTTTTATTTCTTGGCGAAAAGGCGAAGAAATCGATTTCTTATTCCATTTCCATTCCAATCGATTCAAGAACGAAAGAACGAACTAATGTCCCCTTCCGGTGTCTCCATTGAAATACCTATCAATGGTATTTTTCCTAGAAATAGTATTTTTGCTTATTTCGATCATCCTCAACCCATTTTTCAAAAAGAAGATTTCATTGAGTATCGAGGAAGAAAAAAATTAAAGCCAAACTATCCAATTCAAGTAGGTCCCTTTTTTTGGATTCCCGAAGAAGTGCATATTTTACCCCAATCTTCTTCCCTAATGGTACAGAATAATAGTCTTGTTGGAATAGGAACACCAATCACTTTCAATATAAGAAGTCGAGTAGGCGGATTGGTCCGATTAGAAAAGAAAAAAAAAATAGAATTAAAAATATTTTCTGGAAATATCCATTTTCCCAGAGAGATTGATAAGATATCAAGACACAGTCCCATCTTTATACCACCCGGAACGGTAAAAAAAAAATGAAAGGAATCAAAAAAAAATAAAGATGGGATCTATGTCCAACGGATCGCAACTACAAAAAAAAAATGCAAGGAATAAAAAAAATTAAAGATGGGATCTATGTCCAATGGATCGCAACTACAAAAAAAAAAAGAAAAAAAAAATTTGTTTTGGTTCGACCTGTAATTTTATATGAAATACCGGACACTATCCCTTTTGTAAAACTTTTTCCCCAAGATCTATTCCAGGAAAAGGATAATCTGGAACTAAAAGTTGTCAATTCTATTGGAAAATCCATTCGGGAAATTTCCGACACAAGGATTCCATTCCTTCGGACTTGTTTAGTCTTCCATTGGGATGACGGCAAAAAAAGTTCTTCGATTTAGGAGGCCCCCGCTTCCTTTATTGAAGTAAGTACAAATGGTTTGATTGAGTATTTTCTAAGAATTGACTTAGTAAAATCGAATACTTCATATATCAGAAAAAGAAATGACCCATCTGGTTTAGGATTGATTGGGGATAATAAATCGGATCGAATCAATCCATTTTTTTCTATTCATTCCAAGGGAAAAATTCAACAATCACTTAGCCAAAATCACGGAACTATTCGTATGTTGTTGAATAGAAATAAAGAATGCCGATCTTGGATAATTTTGTCATCATCTAATTGTTTTCAAATGAGACCATTCAACAATGTAAAATCTCACAATGGGATAAAAAAAGATCCTATAATTTCAATTAAGAAGAATAATAATTCGTTCGGCCCTTTAGGAATAGTTGCAAATTTATATTCACTTTATCATTTAATAACTCATAATCAGATCTCAATAATAAAAATTTTGCAACTTGACAAATTAAAGGAAATTATTCAAGTAATGAAATATTATTTCATGGACGAAAATGAGAAAATTTGTAAACCCGATCTATACAGTAATATCGTTTTGAATCCATTCCATTTAAATTGGTTTTTTCTCCATTATTTTTCTTGTGAAAAAACGTTTCCAATAATAAGTCTTGGACAATTTATTTGTGAAAATATATGTATAGCTCAAATGAAAAATGGACCACACCTAAAATTAAAATCGGGTCAAGTTATAACAGTTCAAATGGATTCTGTAATAATAAGATCGGCTAATCCTTATTTGGCGACTCCAGAATCAACTATTCACGGCCATTATGGGGAGATCCTTTCTCAAGGAGATATTTTAGTTACATTCCTATATGAAAAATCGAGATCCAGTGATATAACACAAGGTCTTCCAAAAGTGGAACAGATATTCGAAATACGTTCGATTGCTTCAATATCCATGAATCTAAAAAAAAGAATTGATGCTTGGAACGAGTGTATAACAAAAATTCTCGGCATTCCTTGGGGATTCTTGATTGGTGCTGAGCTAACTATAGCTCAAAGTCGTATTTCTTTGGTTAATAAAATCCAAAAGGTTTATCGATCCCAGGGAGTACACATCGATAATAGACATATCGAGATTATTGTGCGTCAAATAACATCCAAAGTCTTGGTTTCAGAAGATGGAATGTCTAATGTATTTTTACCTGGCGAACTAATTGGATTATTGCGAGCAGAACGAACGGGGCGTGCCTTGGAAGAAGCCATTTGTTACCGAGCTTTATTATTGGGAGTAACAAAAACATCTCTGAATACTCAAAGTTTCATATCCGAAGCGAGTTTTCAAGAAACTGCTAGAGTTTTAGCAAAAGCCGCTCTTCGGGGTCGTATTGATTGGTTGAAAGGTCTTAAAGAGAATGTTGTTTTAGGGGGAATGATACCCGTTGGTACCGGATTCAAAAGAATAATGCACCGTTCACGGTCAAGGCAACATAACAAGATTAGCCGGGAAAAAAAATTATTCGAAGTCGAAATTGGAAATCTTTTGTTCCATCACAGAAAATTATTTAATTTTTCTCATTTCAGAGAATTTATGTGATACATTCGAAATATAGGATTAAATATAGTATTAAATGCTTCCTAACAGCGGATTCGACTCATCCATCCCCTGAAATATTTAAATGCAGTCATTGGATTTGGTAATTAAAGTATATTAAAAAATAATAAGAAATAGAAATCAAAGAATGGCCTGATTCTATATTAACGGCCGATCGTCTATAAAAGAGAAGGTTCCATCGGAACAATTATTTATTAGGATACTCGGTCTCTCTTTTTTTTCTTCATTTTTTTGAACAAAGTGTGGGGATAAATGACAAAAAGATATTGGAACATCACTTTGGAAGAGATGCTGAAAGCTGGGGTTCATTTTGGCCATGAGACTAGGAAATGGAATCCTCGAATGGCACCTTTTATATCGGCAAAATGTAAAGGTAATCATATTACAAATCTTACTAAAACTGCTCGTTTTTTATCAGAAGCTTGTGATTTGGCTTTTGATGCAGCAAGCAAAGGAAAACAATTTTTAATTGTTGGTACCAAAAGAAAAGTTGCCTATTCAGTAAGACGGGCTGCAATAAGAGCTCGATGTCATTATGTTAATAAAAAATGGCTCGGAGGTATGTTAACGAATTGGTATACTACAGAAACGAGACTTCGTAAGTTCAGGGACTTGAGAACGGAGCAAAAGACGGGGAAACTGAACTCTCTTCCAAAAAGAGATGGCGCTATG